CTGCCCCACTGCACTGCACTCAGCTCCAGCATGTAGCCCCCAGGCCTGGAGGCCCCAGACTTACTTGTCCAAGATAAGACTTGTTTTTTTCCCCTTCTTGGATCTTCCAAAATAGTGTGCATATTTGGGGACATGTTATATGTGAGAAAATGTGGTAGGCTGCAAGGCCCTAAGATTTGAATGCATGTATTCAACTTGAGAGCCTGCAGTACTGTGAGTGCATATACAAAGATTTTACCAAATGAAACTACTGCATGACTAGGCAAAATACTGAACTCCCAAAACAAATCAACTGACGTAGGGCTGAAGGTACCAACTAGTAAGTAAAATGTTTAGCAAAAACACAAAAATCCACACGTTTCAAAACTTAAAACACTTCCTTACAAGCTGAAACACTTTATAAAACCATGTACTTGCTTTGCACAAAATTTTCCACAGGATACATCCACCTAATAAAAGTAAAGCCAGAAAAGCTAAGCACAAGATCCTCTCTCATAATTAAAGTACGTGTCCTCTTTTGCCAAAATATGCATCTTCACATAAACTTGAAAGGTTTCATTAATTGTAAACTTCAGGTATTCAGTTGACCTTTTTGTATAAGTTTCATCTGATAATCTTATCCAGCTGTTTCAACCAAAAGAATGCATTTCCATCACACTTAGCCAGAGTAATAGATGCTTTCTAATTTCTTGAAAGATATTCTTAAAGTTACAGCAGTAATGGACCCTGGACTTCAGAAAAGCAGACTGACTCCCTCAGAGAACTGATGGGCAGGATCACCTGGGAGGCCAGTCTGAGGGGGAAAGTCCTGGAGAGCTGGTGGTATTTTGAAGAAACCTTACTGAGGGCACAGGAACAAACCACCCTGCTATGCAGGAAGAACAGTAAGTATGGCAGGTGGCCAGCTTGGCTTAGCAGAGAACTTTCTGATGAGCTTAAACACAAAAAGGAAACTTATAAGTGGAAGTTTGGACAAACAACTAGGGGAAGAGCATAGGAATATTGCTCAGGCATGCAGGGATGAAATCAGGAAGGCCAAAATGCAACTGGAGTTACAGCTAGCAAGAAACATGAAGGGTAACAAGAACCGTTTCTACAAGTATGTCAGCAACAAGAGGAAGGTCAGAGAAAGTGCGGATCACTTACTGAATGGGGAAAGCAACCTAGTGAAAGATGAGGAGGAAAAAGGCTGAAGTACTCAATGCCTTCTTTACCTCGCGGAGACAGTTAGGTCAAGGGATGTGGTCATCATGGGTGACCTAAACTACCTGGACATCTGCTGGGAGGAGCAGTCAGCCAGCTCTGACCCCCTGTAGGTTCCTAGCTGAGATGCAGGACCCCTACCTAACCCAGGAGGTGCACAGTCCCACCAGGGGAAATGCCTTGCTGGACTTGGTCCTGGTCACAGGTGATGACCTGGTGAGGGGACTGCGGGTTCTCGACCATCTGGGCGATAGTGATCATCGCCTACTGGAATTCACTATCCAGCGCAGGATGTCAAAAGCCTGCAGCAAGGCAGCAGCCTTTGACTTCAGGAGGGCCGATTTCAAAAAGTTAAGGAGATTAGTCGGAAAGGCACTGAGGTCCCAGAGGGTAGGGGAGTTGGGAGTCCAAGACGAGTGGTTGTTCCTTAAGGAGACGATCCTCCGAGCCCAAAGGGTGACAGTTTCAACGCGAGTCAAAGGGGACAAGAGTGCTCAAAAGCCCCCATGGCTCACCAAAGACATTCAGGAACATCTGAAAGCTAAAAAGGAGGCATACACCCGATGGAAGGGAGGGGCCATCACCAAGGAGGATTATACCTCCATTGCTCGGGACTGTAGGGGGAGCTGTTAGGAAGGCTAAGGCAGAAACAGAACTAGGACTAGTGACCAGAATAAAAAATAACAAGAAGTCCTTTTTTAAATACATAGGGAGTAAAAAGAAAGCACTGGGTAATGGGGGGTTCCCCTGCAGGACACGCTTGGCAATCTGGTGGTTGCACCAGACGATAAAATTCTTTGCCTCCATTTTTCTGAGCAGGGACCAGGACGTCCCCCCCCACCGGGATTCCGGATGGACTCAGGGCACCGTCAGGCCTAGGGTCAGGGAGGACCTAGTTAGGGAACTTCTGGTGGGGCTGGACATGTTCAAGTCAGCAGGTCCAGATGATCTCCATCCCAGGGTTCTGAGGGAATTGGCAGAGGTCATTGCGGGACCCCTGGTATGGCTTTACGAGCACTCGTGGTGCTCTGGCCAGGTCTGAGAGGACTGGGAAAGGGCCAATGTGGTCCCCATTTTCAAGAAAGGGAGGAAGGAGGACCCGGGTAACTATAGGCCCGTTAGCCTTACCTCAATCCTAGGGAAGCTCTTTGAGAAAATTATCCAGGAACACATCTGCAAAGGACCAGCAGGGGAGATTATGGTCAGGGGCAGCCAGCATGAGTTCATTCAAGGCAGGTCCTGTCAGACCAACCTGGTTGCCTTCTATGACCAGGTCACAAAATCCTTAGACACAGGTGTCATGGTGGACATAGTGTTTCTGGAATTTAGGAAGGCCTTTGACACTGTCTCTCACCCCATTCTCATCAAAAAATTAGGCGACTGTGGAGTTGATGCCTACACAGTCAGATGGGTCGCAAATTGGCTGGAGGGCCGCACCCAGAGAGTGGTGGTGGACAGGTCATTTTCAACCTGGTGGGAGGTGGGCAGTGGGGTCCCCCAGGGCTCGGTCCTCAGGCCTGCACTGTTTAACATCTTCATCAGAGACTTGGACAAGAGGGTGAAAAGCACCTTGTTCAAATTCGCGGATGACACTAAGATGTGGGGAGAGGTGGGCACGCTAGAAGGGAGGGACAGGCTACAACTACATCTGGACAGGTTACAGGGGTGGGTGAATGAGAATAGGATGGGATTCAATACTGACAAGTGCAAGGTACTGCACATGGGGAGAAAGAAACAGCAGCATACCTGCAGGCTGGGGAACTCCCTTCTCATCAGCACAGAGGCAGAAAAGGATCTTGGAGTCATTATTGGTTCCAACATGAACATGGGCCACCAATGTGGGGACGTGGTCAGGAAGGCTAACCGCACCTTGTCATGGAGGTCCAAGGAGGTGATCCTCCCTCTCTATGCAACACTGGTCAGGCTGCAGTCGGAGTACTGCATCCAGTTCTGGGCGCCACACTTTAAGAGAGATGTGGACAGCATTGAGAGGGTCCAGAGGAGGGCCGCTCACATGGTCAGGGGTCAGCAGGGCAGGCCCTACAAGGAGGTGCTACGGGACCTGAACCTGTTCAGCCTCCACAAAAGAAGGCTGAGAGGGGATCTGGTAGCCGTCTATAAACTTACCAGGGGGACCAGCGGGGGACAGGAGAGTCCCTGTTCCCCTGAGCACTACCAGGAGTAACTAGGAATAATGGCCACAAGTTGACTGAGAGTAGGTTCAGGCTAGATATCAGGAAGCACTACTTCAGTCAGGCCGGCTAGGATCTGGAACCAACTTCCAAGGGAAGTGGTGCTCGCTCCTACTGTGGGGGTCTTCAAAAGGAGGCTAGATAGACACCTTGCCAGGGTCATTTGACCCCAGCATTCTTTCCTGCCCACGGCAGGGGGTCAGACTTGATGATCTGCTCAGGTTGCTTCCGACCCTACCAACTATGAAACTATGGAGCTAGGCTGTTCTTAGTGGTTACAGATGACAGAACAAGGAGCAATGATCTCAAGTTGTAGCAATGGAGTTTTAGGTTGCTACATCTTGAGACCATTGCTCCTTGTTCCGTCATCTGTAACCACTAGGAAAAACTGTCTCACTAGGAGAGTGATGGAGCACTGGAATTGGTTACCTAGATAGATGGTAGAATCTTCATCCTTGGAGGTTTTTAAGGCCCACCTCAACAAAGCCCTGGCTGGAATGATCTTTTTGGGGATGATCCTGCTTTGAGCAAGGGGTTGGACTAGATGACCTCTTGAGGTCCTTTCAAACCCTAATTTTCTAAAATTTCTAATTTAAAGATGCATGGGTCTGCTGTTGAAAGAAACTTTCATCTATACAAAGCAGACTAACAGAGTTATCCTAGACTTAGGAAAAGACAACAAACCAAAATAATACTCTTCAATATTTTTTTGAAGCTAAGTTTAGTCATATTAATACAGATAAAAAGAAAGGACTAATGTTATTGTTGTATAAAGCTATGCTTGACCACACTTAAGGTGTCCACTTTATAGCTTATTCTTTACAGACTTTTACAAATTAAAAAAAATCCTTTTATTATACTGTGCAAAGTTTTAAAACAGGTCAGAAGCTACTGTGATAACTTGGACTATATTAACATAAACTTATTAAGTATTATTTATAGTCTTAATTAAACACCCAGTACATAACACAAGATAGATATTTCTCACTTTAGTTTCCCTTAGTAACCAGAAATGTGAAAAGCTGACTGCAGCACGGTTTGAGGGTCATTTCAAGAACATAACAGCCAGAGAAAGGCTCCATTTTCAGATACTGCTAGGAAAACAGAGCTGTACTGTGTTAGATATAGATCAATGGAAATTATCAGAAGAATGATGGAAGGTCATTTACCAAAAGGTATTACAAAAAATAGACTAATACTATTTTGTTACTTTTATTGTATTTAATGATTTAACAATGCTAAAAGCTTTAGAAGTTGTGATTTTATAATTCAGATTATTTACTTCAAGTTACTGAATAATTAGCCTTCAACAGAACTATGCCACTGATTAAAAATCATTTAACTATTAAATTAGCCTCCACAGAAAATCAAAACAAAAAATGTCAGATTACTTTTCAGGATGCTATATATCACTCTTGAAAAAAATCTTAAAATACTATTTAAGCAGTTTCTATGAAGGGAATCAGCTCTTGGAAGTACAGTACAGACTGATGAGAACAAGGTAATGAGCATAACTATTTTGTTTATGTTACAAACTGGAAACTCCTAGACTCACAGCCCATTGCTATGCAGTAACAACAGTTTAATAGCCAGGCAGCAACTTACAGTATATTCAATAGTCCCTTTAGGCTTTTGAAAAGACATTCGTCGCCCATCTTTCTTGTCTGGGGTCTTCTTCTGGCCAGTGTCTGAAAAAAATTGAGGCAAGGCGCGTGTTAAATTCATCTTCCTCTCTCACTCAGTATTGTCACAGGCTGCTGAGTACAGCCCCACGGGCAGACATCTAATTCACCAGTTACATAGCTTGATCCTTGTGACTTGACTGTCTAACAGACAACCAGCTGTCAGAATAGGGACTTGACTCCACTGCTATGCTATAAAGATTTGACCAATATGAACCACTGTGACAACTGGGAATCAATTAAATATACAAGTACCTGCTTACATCCAGGAAGTTATTAATGCAGGGAAGACTAAATGATCAATCGACCCCATTGGGCAAAATTACATCAACTGTACAAGCAATGCTTCTAAAGCTACCGCATTTAATTGGTTTCATATTGCATCAGGTCTGCCTTTGTCTGCAGAAAAGGCTATCTACAGCTTCTAGAGGGCAGATCCAAGTAAAGGGTACAGCTTCCGAGTTGAATGTATTTTATAAGGTATGCGATGTTTGCGAGATACACACACCCTAGAATTCTCTCCCTCATTCATTCGGTACAAAAGAGGACAAGATTAAAAGCACTTCTTCCTTATGGATACGTACTTCATCTTTCTGTCAGATATTCTTAAAGCACTTACAATTCATTTCTTTTGGTGACACCACCCCTTAATACCACCAGTTTCCCTGGGATGCAATCCAAAAAGGAGAACATATTGCAACTGTAATCAAATTTTGCTGATGTAGGTTTATAAAAACAGAAGTTTGATTAATTCACAAACAATGACAACACCACACAAGACATACTGTTGTTTGACAATTACCGAATATTCTACAGAAGTCTTTTCTGAATATAGCATACTGAATATAGGGGTATAATGCACAAAACTATTAAACTTGTTCCTCACTCCTGTACTCTTAAACATTTATTGCATACAGGAAGAGGAAGAGAGACTTCTGTGGCCCCCTCTATACGTGCAGGTAAAGGCGCAATGTGATCTAATGCACGATTCACACAATCGTGCCTCCTGCCACTACCCCTCCCCTGCCTTACCTTTCCCTTCCCTCCTCCCTCCCAAAAATTCTCCCTGCGGTGATCTCCAGGGGTTTCTTGCACACTAAGCCCTAGGCATCACAGCAGCCATGATCCCTAGGGCCTGGAGGTTTCATGCATCCCCAAGCCCTGGGGATCATGGCTACCTCAATCCCTAGTGCATGGGGATTTTACATTCGAGTTAATACACTCTTGCAGTTGGGAGCCCCATCTGCTGATGGGGCTCCCAGCCACAGGGGAGACCCTGGTACACATGCAAATTAAAGCTCATTAACAACCAGTTATACAATTAATACACATTTTTTGACGTCTAACTTTATAGCTGGTTGGTGCTTTTTATTTTATACTATGTACTTTGCACATGTAGTTGGTCTCCCGGAAATTGTACAATTAACCATTTTATTGTGTAATACCTGTAACATGGAGAGGGCCAAATCAGTTTTGCAGATCTAAAAAAAAATAATTAGTCGTCACTGCAGCATGCTCCTAATTGTGCTGATACATTTTTGTTTCCATTATCTTCAATTTACATGCTCAGATATTTCTGAGCTAGAATGAAAATGCACATAAAATCTATATTTCAATGTATTCAAATTGTTTACTGTACATGTTAAAGTTACTTCTATCAGCCATTTTTAGTTTCTTAGAAGCCTACACCAAATCACTTTAATTTCTTTTTATTTTGTAGTCATTAAATTAATCCTTTTCCCTTATACTAAGTCTCCCTTGAAAAACACAGATTAAGGCTATTGGAATAGTTAAATTAAGATTACTTCAGAGTTTACAAAGACTTTAATGCCCAAAAATCTGAGAACTCAGCGCACGTTTTGGAGAACACAAAACACTGCTTCCAGGGTGGGGGAAGGGGGAGGAAATGCTTCCAACAAAAGAAATTAAGTGTTGACATCTATTCCCCTCTGAAGTGCACTCCATAGCATGCATTCCTTTGAGAGAGATATCACACAGAATTCCCACCCCATTAATGTTACTGTGTTTTATTTAAATAGAAGTCTTTGTTTTGTGTAACAACAAAATAATCCCACACAGAAATGGGAAACTATTCCCAGTCTGTTCACTTAAGATCTGACATACAGTTTAGAGATCACTGTATGAAAAACAGTAAATATTTAAGAGTCACTAAAGGAACTCAAAGTAGCAGCTTTAAACTACAGTTAAACCAAAAGTAAATTAATTGTCCAGAAAAGTTCATCGATCAGAACATAGTTTTTGAGCTAGAGCTGTGACACTTTTGCCACAGTTTTGGGAATGTGCTCCTTTCTTGTTCTATATTACTTGATGACAGTGATTCCCAACTGGGATGAGGTAGATAAGTATGCTGCTTGCTACTAAGGTTAACTAGAACCTGGAACACACTCCTGGCAGAGCACCGGTCACCATCCTCGGAGGTGTTCAAGAGGAGGCTGGATAAGCAACTCACTGAGCTATTTTGAGCTCATTAACCTACTGCCTATGGCAGAGGACCGGACTTGATGATCTTGCAGGTCCCTTCCGGTCCATTGATTTTATGATACTCCTCTCGCCCACTGCAGTTTCTGCACCAACAAGGAACATCTACGGTTGCCCCCATCCACCCGCTAGCAGACCCTGCACCATCCACTCTGTGTTTTTCAGCCCAGCTTTCCCTCTAATGGCTTGAATGTTCCTGGGGCTGTTGGGAGGGGTTATGGGGGCAGGTGGCTCTGGAGCTTGGTGTGCAAGTTCTTGGAGAAACAGTTGTAGCAGCGAAGGCAGCACTTGCATCCTCAGGTACAGCCCGGGGGTGGGAAGGATGTCCCTCCTTCTCCTCCACCCCATGTGTTCTGCTGCTTATCTCTCTGCTCCCCCAATCCTCTCAGTGCACCATGTCACATAAGTAGTCTGGCACCTCACCCCTTACAGCTGGGGGTTCCTGGGCTCTGGCTCTTTTGGCTATGGGGCTAAAGTGCTGGAATTCATGGGGGTCACCCTGGGCTAACGAAGAACATGAACTGGCCCACTGGTCCCTAAGCCCCAGTGACCCAGACCTATGTCGGTAGTCCAGGTGCCATACTGAGAGCACACACACAGGGCCAGGCAGAGCCACGAGGAACAGCTCAGAAGGGTGACTACAGTATTACATTTAATATTATAATACAGCAGCACAATGAAGAACATATTAATTAATTATATGTTTATATTATAATATTCATACTGTATTCATATCGTTTCAAATGGGGCACTGCTAAATTCTGAAAGCTTACAAAGGGGTGCCCCGAGTCTGAAAAGGTTGAGAAACACTGCTACATGAGGAAAGGAAATTAAGATTGAAGGAAAAACAAGTGTCCAACACTCTCAGCCTGAGGGTTAAATACTTTGTCTGGTTTCAAAATGTTTTTAAAGCAAACTAGTTCTTCATTGCAACACAACAGGCAGTGCCGCCTGGAATGCTGCTGAGCACCACAACAATGAAGCAACTAACTGCTGAGCATGTTTCCAGTTCAGATCAGTTCCATCTAAGCCTACAGCAGAAAGCAGTGCCCCTTATCTACTGCTACTCCCAGTAGCACAAGACTTAAATGCAAGTTTTCTTTTGAATCAAAGCCAGGTGATGAAGTTAAAAGACTCTTTCAGTTGCAAAGACTTTGACACAGGCAAGTTTGGCAGCCCTGATTTGGCACTAACACCAACATTTTTTCTCCTTCGAACTGTCAGAATGGACAAAGAGCTCAAGCCTCACGTTAAGATCTGGTACCTTTTCAACTGCTACAACGCATGCCGTTCCAACCTCTCTCTCTCCAAATACAAAATTCTGAAGTACTTCCATTTTCACAAGGGAACCTCTTCATGAGTGGCAGTATAAAAGGTACTGCCTGATGAAAGCAAGTTAGTAAAGAAAGGACAAAACAGTAGAGAGAGAAAAGAAGTATTAATTCATCAGCATGAGGAAAAGGGGTGAGCTACCTTCACAGGATGTCTTCTTCAACATCAGGAAGGATGGAGCTACTGCACTTTGCGGACTTCAGGATGTAAACTGAGTCCCCCTTAGACCAGTTTGAAAAACTACCTGTTTCCTAAGAGACATAGGGAGAGCAACTCCAAGCCAAAATGGCCAAAACTTCTAAAGAGAACTTATTACATATAAATGCAGGTGAGGGCTGGGATCCAGCCCAAGCACCTATAAGAAGGGAGAAGGACCAGGCCTGCTTGAAGGCCCTACAAAGCTAACTGGCCTCCCAGGGTTTTTGCTACTGAAGGGCACATTTTGGCAATAACTGAACGAGGGGCAGAAGATTTTTTTTATTTTCCTGTTAGAGTCTTTTTGAACGTTAATTTTGTGCTTGCTGAGAGGAGGGGAAGGAGTTAAGTAAGGTTTTTGGACAAGGGAGGACAGCTGGAGCCTCTCTGTATAAGATGGGGAGAGAGGTATAAGGGGATGTTGGAGGATGAAGGGGGAATCTCGCCTGGGTTTGAAGTGGGATGGTGGAAGTGGGAGCTGGGGGGAAGTTTTCTTCTGTCCTAGATGTGTCAGTTGAGAGGTGTTATTGGGATTGGTGGGAGGGTTTGCTTGTGTAGGGGGTTGGGCAGGGAGGCGGTGGCTGGAGGGAAGGAGGGAAGTTAGAGTTTAAGGATTAGAAAGGGTGGGATATAAACTTCAACCTTTTTAGATGCAAGGCACCCTTTGATAGCCTTGAAGCACCCCTCGACAGAGTCAAGCACCCTTTAGAAAATATCAGCACTTAGGTTTTCACTTTATTTTTTTTAAGTGTAGAAAAATAAGACTCCCTATGCCTGAAGAAGGGTGACTGTGCCCAAAAGCTTGCCAAGAACTTTTCTCCCAGCTACTCAGCTGGTCTAATAAAAGATATCATATCTACTCAAAGAACATTGCCTGAAAAAATAATAGAGCAATTCTTAGGTTGCAAAGAACTCAAAAACATCTCACCAGTTCGGAATTTTTTTTTTTTTTTTTTTTTTTAACATTGTGAACTCCTATG